GAGTGGGGCAGGCAATTGAATAGAGGGAAAAAGTAGGGAGCCAACAGCAGAAAAATAGCAAGGCAGAAAGGGCCCACTGCAGGTTGGCCATAACCATTAATGTAGATAGCCACAATTCACAAATAAAAAGAAACACAGGCAGAGAGAATCAAGGAACAAGGTCTATCAATATGCATTTTACAAGAAACATTGAACTTGAAAGGAAATTCATAGACTAAAAGTGAAAGGAGAGAAAATGATGCTCCGTGCAACAGGGAACCAGTAAAAAAACAAGGATAGCATGCTTATCAACCACTGAAGGGATAAGAAAAATATGGCATTTTTATACAGTGGAAAGCTACTCAGCTGTAGAGAAGGATAATCATGATCTCTTGCAGATAAATGGATGCAACCTGAGATCAAGCTCATGGATGAAATGGCTTGTGCTCACGTGGGTGAATGTTGGATTATGTCCTTAGCATAAAAACTAAGGAAGTTAGTGGGTCCAAAATGTGCAACAGACATTGTGAAAGTGAAAGGGGAGAAAACATCTAAAAAGGGAAGGTGATAGCCATTGTGAATTTCTTATTATCATGGTTTGAAGCCCTGTATCATTTTCATTTTTCTGTTTGATTTTAGAATGTTTAATTTTGTTTGATTTTATTATGGCTGGTGATATAGGCAGCTATTTCAAAGGTAACAAGAACCACGATGGTAGACACTGGTGATTTCCCATTATTTTTTTTTTTTTGAAGTCACATTCACTATTTAGATTTTATTCTGTTTTGCTTTGTTTGATTTTATTATGTCTGATGGAATAGGCAGCTACTTTGAAGATAACAAGAGATATTATGGTAGCCATTGTTAATTTCCTGTTATCCTTATTTTGAAGTCCTGTGTCACATTGGTTTTCATTGGCTCTAATCTATTCTATTTTGCATAGGTTTTTCTCTTTAAAATAAAAAAAAAATAAAAAGGAGAGAGATTTGAAGTTTGCTATAGGAGTCAGTTAATCTCCTGGAAGATCACTTTGGTGTTTCAATGTTAAATTTTAAGATCTATTGGAAAATATCAACTATGTTCTAGAATTTATTCCAGGACTAGGTTAGTACTAATACTCAGACAAGAATCTCGTGGATCCTGTACCTGAATGACACAAATGTCCCAGGTGCTCTCCCTGCTGGTTGGTGGTAACACAGGCAACTCCAGTCCTATGTAAGCTATGAAAACTAATGATGAATCTCAGAGTTTTCAAGTATTTCTTCTTTCTCAGACTTCACAGATATACACAGTTCAGTTTGCTGACAGTGATATAAGATGTGTTCTACATGATTCTTGAAGTTTTATTCTCTGTTGCTTCATCTTTCTCCATACATTTCAGATACCTCAGCAACTCCAAAGCTAATCCACATCTTCTTAACTAACTAAATATGCCATACTATGTTTCTATTTCCCTTCTACATGTGATGCCACAGATAGTGTACAAAAATTCAGGATCATGAGAGCAGAATATTGGACATGCTTTTGAAAGGGAAATAATTTTAGGAACAAACTTCTGTAGTGAATGAGTGCACACAATTGAAGGCTTCCTAAGGGTCTATGCTTGCTGTTCTACCCTGTCAGTGCAGAGGTATAATAGCAGAGTAACAAGTTTAAGGTTACTTGTCAATTTAGCATTCCTTTACTAACACTAGAGTTTGTTTTATTAAAAATCTGTGCCTCAGTTTTCAAAGCACTTTAGTGTAACTGTGTCAATGCTTGGTGATGGAGAGTGAGAAACTACTAACAAGGAGTAAGAGTCATAATGGTAGTAATTTCTGAAGATGCTGATGGCAATGACTGAGGTAGTTACAAAATGATGATGATGATGACAATGTGGAGGATGGTGATGAAGACAAAATTGATGATGCTGGGATGGTTGATGATAAAATATTCCAATGTTTGAATTAGATGTGAAGCTTATGTAGCTGCAAGATGAGTCTACATGCACAAAGAAAAATGATTCGAGGCGCAGGTGTAAAGTAAGACTCTAATTGTTCCTTAGTGAAGACCACAGTCTCCAGAGTAACTGCATCCCAGGAGATGTTCTTCCCTTAAATTTGTAAACTGTATTCCCTGCCCACAAATCTTGGTGACCTTTTCCCATGACAGTACTAGGCTTTATGAGCACCTTTAGCACTAGAAATATATCTATATATTTCCAGAACTTGCTGATCACTGAAGCCAATGGTATTCCCTAAAATTTCCAGGAGATGGTGTATCAGTTTTCTTTTACATATATGTTGAATAACAATTATATAAGAAAATAGGTCTCCTCTGAGCTCTTATTTTTAATGTAAGGTATTTGCAATCATGTTTTTACCTTCATTGCTAGGTGCATTTCTCTTGGTATGCTGTTCTCTTCACCAGCAATCCTGAGCTTCTGATGGCTTGGTAAGATTAAAGTAATACTTGTAGTAACTCATAGGGAATATGTGGTTTGGGGTGGCCTACTTTATATTATTAGAATATTATGGGTGTAAAAAATTCCTGCTGCCCGAGGTTCTCCTGCACAATGGAGTTCTCATTTGAACCCCAATTGCTATGCACTGATTTTATCATATTTAAAAGCAGTGATTGGACACAGGGCAATATGTAGTATTTTCTAACTCTTATTAGCTACAGAAAACTTATTTTGTAATAAATGGAATATATTTTAATTAAGTTTATTGGTACAGTTTATATGTACATAATCATCTCATTCATCATGAGGAATCTGCACCCATATGTGTTTAGTTTTCTTGAGACAGTGTCTTGCTGGGAAGCTCAGGCTGACCTTGGCTTACTGTGTAGTACAGACTGGTCTCAAGCTTGTATCAATTCTCCTGTCTCAGCCTACCAAGTGCTGGGATTACAGGGGTGCACTGTCACACCCAGCCTACATTACATATCTTGACTCCTCTCCCCCACCATTTCCCTCTTGTAGATTCAATCAGTCTTCCCCTCCTAATTTACAAAAGTTTTCCTTCCATTTTATCCTTCTTATCTCATTTTTTCCTTTTCCCTGCCTTTTATTCCTCCTCCCTCTCCCTAGTTCTCCTTCCCATTTAAATAGCTTTTTTCTATTTCGCAATACCTATTACACATTTTGGTTCTTATTTATACTTTCAGTAGAACTCACAATGCAATGCAGACTTCCTTGTTCTCACACTACATTTTAAGGGTTTTAAAGGCTATTTCTTGTATCTAAGAGAAAATATGAATAGTACAAGTTATTATTATTATTGAGATCAAATGATATTTATTTTTAAATCATATGTAAAAATTCAAGTTAAAAATTTAATGCATGTAAACGTATTTACATGCATAGAGATGTTAGCTGCCTGTGTTAGGTTCCAAGTAATTGGAAAATGTGGGGCTTTTATTCTTTGCTTAACATTTACAGTGATAAAAATGCATATAAATTACAAATAATATCACTTCTACCTTGAAAATTATAATAAAATATTTTTACTACTAATAATATAGAGATGTATGAAGTATCTACAACAAAAAAGCCAGGCCAGGGATATAGTTCAGCAGCTCAGTGCCTGCCTAACAAGAGCAAGGTCCTGAGTTCAGTTCCCAGGACCATAAAATTAAAACTTAAACTCCTGAAATAAAAAAGTATAATTTAATGGAGACAAAACAAATGAATAGTCAGTAGTCTTGAGTTTCAGAATCAGTCTGCCTCCTACCAGCAAGGGCATTTTCTATAACTTACTGAACTTTTAGAGTTTTGGTTTGCTGCACAATGAAAGCAAACAAGGAATGCATTCCTCTTATTGTGTTTACAAGGCACATGCTAAGCTAAGAGTAAGCTTGCTGTAATCACACTATTTCTTGGTGTGTTAGCATGCAGATTTGTAAGGCTACCTGTAGCGAGCAAAGGAGGAAGCTCAGGGTCAGAGAGGAAGAGAGGTAAATTTCACCCTAATTTACCAATAGTTTGTATATTGGGGCAAGTCAGTAGCATCTGGCATGTCATCTTTCTCCCCATGAAACAGGAATAAAAGTTTTTCTCTAAAAATATTTTGCCTTACCTTGATAATTATATTGAGAAACAATATAGTGAGAGTTTGTTTATGAACATAAGAAATTCATCTGACAAATAAGTATGTCACACTTCTGTCAGCTTTAGCCATGATTGTCTATGCTTCCTAGGGATGTAATTTAATTTAAATACTTTGTCATTAGGAATGTATAGTGCCATGCTTTGACAACATAGTATGAAAATAATCATATCCATAATTACCTATGGAGCACTTGCTGTGTGGCATTCCCTAAGATTAAACCATGGATCATTAATCAGTTCTCCTGTGAGTAGAATTCAGGCATTAATGCTTTCTAAATGTTCCAAGCAGTCATAATATGCAGGAAACATTGAGAAGCACTGCCTTCTATCACATCCTGTGAATAACTAAGAACAAATTCCTCATACTTAATGACAACTCCCATTTTAATAGAAATCAGTGCTTTAAAGAAGATTTGTGTGATGGTCTATCCTGCTTGTGTTTGAAATTATGTTTCTAGCTGCAATTTTGATAAGTCCACATCCTTTGTCTTATAAAAGCCCTTTATTCATAAATAAGAAAGTGGAAAGGACATATATATATAGAGATAGAGATAGACAGAGATAGAGATAGAGATAGAGATAGAGAAGATGATAGAGATACAGGTAAAGAAGAAGGCACATTTAGACTCCTTGGGAGGAATAAATGAACTTTATATCAAAAGATTTGTTGCTGTCTTATGATCCCCTTCTAAGAATAATAGCTGGATGTTTTTAACCAGAGTTCTTTTGTTAACAGTTAAATTTAACTGGTAATTTCATTGGCTTGAAAGAGGAGAAATGAGTAAAGCACCTTTTGGGAGTCTCTAGGTAGGTCATCAGGCTCTGACCTTTGGGATAATACCTTGGCCCTGCCCAGTTCTCTTTAGCTCTTCACCTAAATTCTGATTTTCAGGGGTTATGAGGTTGGCAGTTTTCCTCTGTCAACATTTTCTTCCATCATGTTTATGCTTTGGAACCAGCTAGCCATGGACTAAACCCTCTGCCAAAAGAACTTCTTCTCCTTTAAGTTTCAGGTGTTAGGGACTTGGTCTGAGAAACAGGAAGGTAAAATGTAACTTTGAAAGTTGTATCTGTATTTTCCCTGTATTTCAACAAAGAAATTGACTTAGTAAGTGACACAGCTTGTCACTAACCATAATAAGCAGATACTCTATCAATTTGAGATAGATATTCATGTCTTCACATTCACAGAATATGTAAGGAATACCTTAAATATTTTAAATCTATTGTTCAGTAGAAAAAAACTTATTTTTGTAAAACATTTTGTATTAATGAAAAGGTTTTGTTGCTGAAGGAAATTGCCTCTCACAATACAAACTATAAAATGAAATTCACTACTGATGAGAGATACAGTAGAAGATTTCCAACTTTAGTGTGAATCAGTATCCATGAAGGAATTGTTTATCCAAAGGCTATTCAACTGCTTCCCAGAGGTCCTGGTTCATACTGGCAGAGGAGGCCTGAGAATCTGCATCCATGTCAAGGTCAAAATCATGTAAATGGTGCTGGTTTATGGAAATAAAGTGAAAAATTAAGAACTAGGACACTGGAGAAGCAGGAGAGAAGTAAGAGATCCAGATCTGGACCCTATTCCCCAAGATCTTCAAATATTCATGGGCTGGTGCATCTCACAGTGCAAAGCCTGAGTTGCGGGAGGACGCATCAGCCAAAACCAGGATGGTTCAGCAGCCCCAAACATGGAAAAACAACTGCTCAAACTGTTCAAGGGCGCCATCTCACAGGGACCTTTTCTCTCATGCCCACAGGACGCCCAGCCAGACAGAATGGCTGCAGAAAATCACTCTACAGTGACAGAGTTCATCCTTGGAGGATTAACTAACAGGCCAGAGCTCCAGATACCCCTCTTCCTCCTCTTCCTGGGGATCTATATGGTCACCATGGTCGGGAACCTGGGCATGATCACCCTGATATGTCTCAACAAGCAGCTTCACACGCCCATGTACTACTTCCTCAGCAATCTGTCACTTGTGGACCTCTGTTACTCTTCTGTCACCACCCCTAAAATGCTGGTCAACTTTGTGTCCCAGAAGAATGTCATCTCCTATGTGGGGTGCATGTGTCAGCTCTACTTCTTCCTTGTTTTTGTCATTGCTGAGTGTTACATGCTCACAGTGATGGCCTATGACAGATATGTGGCCATCTGCCACCCTTTGCTTTACAATATTATCATGTCTCATGCTCTCTGTTCCTTTCTGGTGGCCCTCGTCTTCACTATGGGATTCATTGGCTCCACAATAGAGACTGGCCTCATGTTGAAATTGAGCTATTGTGAAAGTTTCATCAGTCACTACTTCTGCGACATCCTTCCTCTCATGAAACTCTCCTGTTTCAGCACCTATGATGTGGAGATGGCAGTCTTTTTCTTAGCTGGATTCGACATCATACTCACCAGCTTAGTTGTCCTTGTTTCCTATGCCTTCATCCTGTCCAGCATCCTCCACATCAGCTCTAAAGAGGGCAGGTCCAAAGCCTTCAGCACCTGCAGCTCCCATCTTGCAGCTGTGGGACTGTTCTATGGATCCACTGCATTCATGTACTTAAAACCCTCCACCGCCAGTTCCCTGGCCCAGGAGAATGTGGCTTCTGTGTTCTACACCACAGTGATCCCCATGCTCAACCCCTTGATCTACAGCCTGAGGAACAAGGAAGTAAAGACGGCCCTGCAGAGAACACTAAGAAGAAAACTCCTTTGATGTGAAATTTATTGTTCTGTTTCTGTATAAAAGTAGGTTCTTAGAAACTCCAGATGGGTGCTCTCTGCATGGTTACCCAGTTGTGGATTGGAAATTGTAATTTCTCTATGTATTGGGGTCCATCATTTCTCTTTTTCTTCTCCCTTAACTTGCACATTTCCATGATTATATTTGAAGCTATCTATTTCAAGTTGATTTTACTCTCAGTTAGGGTGCATTTTATCTACTTTCAACCATAATTATAAATTAGCAAATTTTTACATTGTGTTTGGGAGTCATTCATGGTCCTACTACTTTCAATATAGAAATTCTTCCACACTTCACTTCTTACTTCCGGCCACTAGCAATACCTAAGGCAAAGAGATGTGAATTCAAAAGTCATGAAGAAATGGTATTTTGTATCATTGTCTCCCAGATTCCTTTTTCTCCTCTGTCTCATTTTGTGTGACATATCTTCTCTCTGATATTCCTGCCCCTACATTTTGACCTAATTCCTTTGTGTAAATTTCTTGCTGGTAATAACAGTAACAGTAATAGTAATAGTAATAGTAATAATGGGTCACATGTTTTTCATGTTTCTTCTGAGATATGTATCTCTTCCAAGTGGACTATACTTTAATTCTCTTATACCTCACAATAGATAGATACATTGTGGTCCCACTGCACACAGATAGTAATTAGTGACCTGCACTAGGGCATCCAGGTGTCAGTCAACACTTGGATCAAACCACAACCTCAGGGGCGCCAAACTCACTCTGGTCTCTCACACAATGCCACCTTTTGCTGTATGCCTTCACAGTCTATGTGTCCCATCTAGAACACTTGCCTTATTTATGCTTTTCCAATTTCAAATGCTTCCTCATAACAATTCCTCAAATCTTCTCAATATTATCTGCATAAACTTATTTCTTTTTCTGTGCAACATCTTCAAGATAAATAAGAAAAATTACACTGCAGTGGCTGACCAGGCCAGATTACCATGAATCTCTCCCATTCTTAGCACTAAGAGATACACATCTTGGGTAAACTCTCTCCCCAGGCAAATCAGCATGACTGGTCAGCCTTGACTACATATTGCTGCAGAGTTACTTAGTGAATCCAATTGAAGGGGAACAACGTTTCTCCTCACACTTATTTATAACACTATCAAGGATTTTTGGTTTAGACTAAGCAGCTGATGTAGTCTGAAAGATTTATGTACGTTCATTTGTCATTTAAAATAATTTGGGCTATACAAGTGATTCAATGAGTGGTTTAAATTGGGAAATATAAATACACAGTTCCTTTAGACAGAAAAAAAATAAAACATGGAATTATATGCATATAGTTTTGAATTAATACAGAAAGTTTAAGCCATCTCCCAAAGCAATGCCACAAGAGTTACGACCTACACTTCAGGAAGGTCCAACACAATCATCACTGCTACTACTGTGTAGACGACTTCTCATGTTCATGAAGCTGGGAAATGAATGACAATCCTAATATGAGCTTCACCTGTAATTTTATTAGAAATTCAGATTTTCAACCCCATTCCAGATCTACTTAATTTCTATGTAGGAGCCAGAAATCTGTCTTAACAGGACCTGAGGTGATTCTCCATTATTGAACACAAAAGGAAAGAAACCTTCCAGTCCAACCTTCCAAATCTCTCATACGTGTGTTTTTAATTGAGACTGTGAGAAACTTGGGCTATGCCAGCTTTAGCTTTTTTTTTTAATTTAAAGGAAAAAAACCCCAAAACAGTATAAGGGTACAAGTAATACAGAATTTCAAAAAAAAAAAAAAGAGATAAGAAATCACTAGTTAATAGATTACATATTGTCATCTTAGAAATAGTTGTTTGAGTTACTGGATTAAAACATACAATGTGGACATACAAACAGTGAGACTGCAAACAGTTGTGTTCAATGATCCAACAAAAACTTAGTACTATGGTCTTCTATCTTAACACACCTAAACACACTTGCAGTTGTATCCTTTATAGCACATTTTTTCCTTCTCTTTTTTTTGCAACAACATTTACACATTTTGGGTTTTATTACTCCCATAGTTCTTATTACTTTTTTTGGAAGAGAATAAAACCAAATATGACAAAACAAAGCAGTCAGTCAAAACAAAGGACAGACATAGCACATGATGTTAAAACAGAATACAAGGTTATCAACAATGGTTACCATAATGCCTCTTGCTTCCTTAAAAAGAACTGCCTATATCATTAGGTATAATAAAGTACAGGTATAAAAAACAGTACAGAACAAGACCAATAATACCTAAACATTGTAAACATTACAGGACATCAAAAGAAGATAATAGTCAAACCAGAATGGGCATCATAGTGAATCTTATTGCCTTCAAAGTAGTTGCCTGTATCCGCAAACTTGATACTATCAAACAGAATGGAACAGAGTAAAATCAGTCAAAACAAGATTAATACATGTTAATTAAGTTAATAGGAAATCAAAAAAGTTACTATAATATACCCTGCTAATTTTTTGATTTTTTCCCTTAATTAAAAAAATAATAAAATAATTTTTTTATGAAAAAGAGGGAGATTGAGATAAAAGAGGACATAATAACATAACAATACAGGTCAAATCATGAAAATTTCAGCAACCTAGTGATTCACCATAAGATAACTTGACTTAATAGTAGTTAGCATAGTGTCTCTTTCTTTGAAGTATTTGAATATAAATTTGTATACTATAGCATCAAACATATCAAGACAGTGTGAAACCATTCAAGAGGATGAAAGTATTACAAGGTTTTAGAACCAGCTAACAGAAAATGAACAATGGTTTCTATATTATCTCTTTGCCTATAAAAATTTTTGTTTATACTATCACATATAATAAAATCCAGTAAGATACAACATGATAAAATCAACAGAGAAAGAAGAACAACAGTTTGGTGGAACTTCTAAACAAGATGATATTAGATCAGCACTAGCTATTATGATGTCTTGTTTTCTTCAAAATAGCTGTTCATATCATCATAGGCAATAATATCAAAAAGCCCAGAATAAAGCCATTCCAATTAATGAGTGAAAACTTTATAAGGCTTCAAAGCCACATAATCGGGAATCATGATTACCACATACTTTTGTATACTTGCATCATTTCTTACAATAAAGAATCTATTCAGTATTCATACATGTGAGTTTGATTTATTTCACTTATGAGTATGGTCTCAAGCTGTGTCCATTTATTTTTAAATATCTAAATGTGATCCTTCTTTATAGCTGAGTAGTACTACATTGTATAAAAATACCACAACTTTTTTATCCACTCCTCAGTTGATGGACGCTTAAGTTATTTCCAAGATCTGGCCGTTACAAATTGTGCTGCTATAAACATGGGTGCACATATATCACTGTGGTATGATGCTTTCAGTTCTTCTGGGATTATGCCTAGAAGTGGGATAGCTGGAACAAATGGGACTTCCAATCCTAGCTTTTTCAGAAATCTCCAGACTGACCTCCACAATGGTTGCACACTACACTCCCACCAACAGTGCAGGAGAGTTCCTTTTTCTTCATAGCCTCTCCATCTTCCACTGTTGATTGTTTTCTTGATCCTGACCATTTTTTGAGGAGTGAGATGGAATCTCAGTGTGGTTTTAATTTGCATTTCTCTAATGACTAATGATGATGAACATTTTTCATGTATTTATTTGCCATTTGTATTTCTTCATCTGAGAAATGTGTATTCATCTCAGATGCCATTTTTGGACTGGATCTTTGAATTTGGGATGTCTGATTTTTAAAATTCTTTATGTTTTAGACAGAAGTCCTTTGTCTTAGGGAGAGTTCACTGAGATTTTTTTCCCAGTTTGTGGGTTTTCTTTTCACTATGCTGGAGATTTCTTTTGACATGCAGAAACATTTTAATAAGAGGTGGTCCCAGTTATTGATTCTGGGAAGCATTTCCCGTGCGGTTGGAGTCCTGTTCATGAATTCTCTACCTACCCCTATGTCTTCAAGGTTTCTACCCAATTTGTCTTCCAATAGATTTAGTGTCTCTGTTTTAATCCATTTAGATTTCAATTTATTACATGGTAATAGGCATGGGTCTAGTTTTAGTTTTCGGCAAATGGAGAGCCAGTTTTTCCAACACCATTTATTAAAGAGACTGTCGTCCTTTCAGTGAACCTGTTTGGCTCCTTTATCAAAGATAAGGTGGTTGAGTGTGTTTGTAGTCGTAGTTGTATCTTCTAATTTATTCCATTGATCTTTGGCTCTGTTTTGATTCCAGTACTATGTTGATTTTACTACGGTTGCCTTGTAGTATAACATCAAGTCAGGGATTGTGATGCCTCTTTTCTTTGTTGCTTAGACCTGTCTTTGCTATTCTAGGTCTCTTCTCACTCCAGATTAATTTTAGGAGTGATTTCTCTAGATCTATAAGGTATGTTGATGGTATTTTTATTGCGATTGTATTGAATCTGTGTCAGAGTTTTGGGAGAATGGCCATTTTCACAATATTTATTTTTACTATCCATGAACAAGGGATGTCTTTCCATTTTCTGAGATCATCTTCAATTTCTCTTTTCAGTGTATTACAATTTTCCCTGTATAGGTCTTTCACTTCTTTCATAAGAGTAATTCCTAAATATTTCATTTTTTGGGTTGCTAGTGGGAAGGGTGTGGCTTCTCTTATTTCTCTGTGATTTTGTTGTTAGTATATAGGAATGCTATAGATTTCTGAGTATTGATTTTGTATCCAGCTACATTACTGAATTTATTTATCATAACTAAGAGTCTTTCAATGGAGTTTTGGGGTCTTCTATGTAGAGTATCATATCATCTGCAAACAATGATAATTTAACTTCTTCTTTTCCTATCTTTTCCCCTTTCATTTCTCTCTCTTGTCTAATTGCTCTGGCTAGTATTTCCAGTACTATATTAAATAGGAGTGGTGATAAAGGACTTCCTTGTGTTGTGCCTGATTTTAAAGTAAAGGCCTTCAGTTTTTGGCCATTTAGTATGATACTGGCTGTTGGTTTGTCATAGCTGGCCTTTATTATATTGAGGTAAAGACTATCTATTCCAATTTTCTGTAAAGTTCTCATCATGGATGAATGTTGGACCTTATCAAAAAGTTTTTCTGCATCTATAGAAATGATCATGTGATTCTTACTTTTGGCTTTATTGATATGGTGGATTACATTTATTGATTTA